TTTCTCGCGCCAGGAGTGTCTCGATTTCTTGTGGTGCCCGGAGGTTGGTTTGGGCTGTGCCTGCTTCGAGTGTATCACATTGCGGACTTTGCTAACTGCGCTGGAAGGGCAGCGCCTCAGAGTAAGTAGTCTCCTCTTTCCTGCAGGAAGAGGAGGAGGCGCTCGAGAGGGCCTGCACAGCGGAAGGGGCAGTCGTGGTGGAAGACCGAAGTAAAATGCTCTGCACCTCCTGATTGGACAGCCACAGGAGAACACACGCCTGGAGGAGGAGCGGCAGCGACAGGAGGTTCCATACAAGACTGCACTGCCTCTCATGATTGTCGGCATCTGTTGGCAGACGTTTGCCAAGCTACAGTGCTTTGCTCTTTGTTCTGCTATTCTGCTATATGAAGCCGCAGGCTGCAGCGGAGATGCGCGAACAAGAGGAGCACCGCAAAGTTAGGAAAAGCAGCCGGCGGCCGCAATCCACTCGTTCTCTGAAAGTTTGATATGTGCGGGTGTACAGGTGCAGTCCGGCTCAGTGGCAAGCCCTAAAGTGCTCGCAGTCTGTGGCAGGAGCAAGCCAAGGCAGAGGAGGAGACGCACTCTTTCAAGCCGAAATGATGACTGGAGCGAGTCGTGCAACGCTGCGTAGTAGGAGAGGGCACGACTGGAGGAAGAGCGGCGTCGACGAGAGGCACGTGGCATGCACCTGTTGAGAGCTCCGGCAAGCAGTCGCTCTGCACGGTTCGTAGACACCGCCGTTGTAGGAAGAGGAGGTGCTGGAGAGAGCCCATGTTGAGAAAGAGGCGAGAAGCATGTTTAGATTGCTGCACTGCCTCCATGAGTGGCAATGCTTACAGCTTCGCGCAGGAGCAAGCCAAGGCTGAGGAGGAGATTCTGTGGTAGCTGGAATCGACTATTTTTGGGGTCTCATGTCCATGTCAGCAGGAAGGCCTTTAACGAACGGCGCACAGGAGAGAGCACGGCTAAAAAAGCACAGGCGCCGACAGGAGGTGCGCTCGGAACAGACAGTTGCCATTTCATTGTTGACCTGGACGTGCGAGATTCCGTAGTGGGAGAGTTTGCAGAAGCTTCATGTTGAAGGCCCACCAGGATCTGCGCCGTGAGCTGACCAGGTTGCAGCGACAGGCCGCGCGATTGGGAAGAACGCCTGCTGCAGTTTGTCACACAGTTGTGAGTGTACTAATGCAGTCTGTTTATTATGATGCTATGCCACTACATATATTTCGTGAACTCATGAAGTCTTCTGTCTGTCTGAATAGAAATGGGACAATCAATGCTTGGGTATGCAACCCTCGCGAAACGGTGCTTGAAACGAAAGTTTGACCCCAAAGCATGGTGTTTCACACGACAGGTTTGATTTGGTGATCCTTCGGTCTACGTCGTTGTTGCGATGCTGAGTATCACCGCGAAGTCATGGTGCTGCTGTGACCATTGTCATCCCTAGCAGTCCGTATGGTAATTATTTGTGATTGTTGTCGCCCCCAACGAAGCCATGCTAAAGTGTGATGACGCCAAATGAGGGGCTTCGTTTAAGTCAAGTATAGAGTCGGAATCGCCACGTGAGGAGGCCGGGATGAAGTTAGTGTGTGATGAGCAGGTTCGCTTAATGAGGGGGTGCCTTTCAGACATATACCGAATCGGAAGCGCCATGTCAGGGCGCCGGGGTTAAGACATTTGAGGAAGGGGGATCGCCGAATGAGATGTGGGATCACCCATTGTACCACATGTGTGATGTCAGAAATGTGATGAACCGGGAGTTTTCTGTGTTGTCCGGGCTGTTGCCGGGGCTGCTCCGGGGTTGTGGTTCCGGGTTGTGGTCCGGGCTGTCCGGGTATGTCGGGGCGTCGGAAGTGACAGCAGAGTTGTGGGCCTGGTCTTTCAATTCTGAGGGTCTGCAACTGCGTGAAGATAACGACGGTGACGACGACGATGATGATCATCATCATGGCGTGGTGACGACTATGACTCTATGACTCTGAAGCTGCAGAGCAATGCTCCTTGAGGCTGGCAAGCGGGTGCACCTGGTAGACTGCGCTGGGATCTGAGTTTAGGGTGGATGCCCTTTGTGCACGTAAATCCGAAGCCGTCTGTGGCCGCACAGGGGTGCCCGTCCTGCCGCCAGCCTGAGCTGTGGTTCCCCAAGAGGAACTACCAGGAGGTGCTGGCCCGAACCCCAGGACGGTGTCGGACAGAAGAGATTGCTGGAGAGCACATGTTACGGAAGAACCTGATTGAGGTGGGGCTCCCAGAGCGCCAACGGGTGGCCTGGGACTCCGACGACGAGTACTTGGACGAGTACTCCGTCTTGGCAGGCCGCAACTGACTGGGTCGCTGCAGGCGCGCTCGCATCGTTCGGTTCCATTTTTTGGCCGGAGATGATGATCAGAGTGAGACCACGTCTTTTGCGTGTCCGTTTCGGAGCTTCAAGAGTGCTGAGAGAGGGAGGTGGTGTTGGAGGGGTGTCCCACACCTGAAAGTGTGTCTGTGTTGTTCGTACTTGCATTGCAAGTTGCACACTGTGCATTGTCTTGAAGTTGATGAAGTTGTTCAACTGTGTTCAGGATGACCCGGCGTCGCTGCTCGTGCAAGGCGGCTGGAATGGTGCCAATTGGCTGTCCGACCTGTGGAGCTACGAAGTGCCTTATAAGGAGTGGCAGCAGTTGAACATCAGCCCTGCACCGATGACTCGCTCGCAGCTCGTGGCGGTTTGGGATAAGGCTGGCCAGAGGGTCTGGCTGCATGGCGGCTACGGAACGGGCCTGTTCGGAGATCTGTGGACGTTAGGTCGCGGCCGCTCTTCTGTCTGGGCCGAGGTGACGTTTGCCGGAGGTCCCCACAGCGAGATCGGGCCATGCAGTGGCCTGGGATGATTGCATGGAGGAAACGATGGCTTCATGAAGCAGGACCCGTGGAGATACGATTCTTCAGCAAACAGCTGGGATCTCGTCAGGGACATTGTGCAATCCGGGCCATCCGCACGGGTCTCATGTTGCTGCCTGGCATGCGAGAGCCCAGGTCTTGTACATCTACGCCGGCTACAACGGGACCCTTTGCGGAGACCTTTTGGGATTTCTGGTGACCACTACCTCGACTACACACTCCAAGACAAGTTCTTCAACAACTTGGACTTACAGCTCCACCACCACAAGCTCCAGCTCCACAGCCTCCCGGACAAGTACTTCACACACACGGTCGTCAAGTACCACCGCAAGCACCAGCTGAAGCAGCCTTTCCATCAGCACCAGCACGAGTTTCACTTCAACATCAAGAACTCTCGCGCAGGCCGCAGCACTTCAGGTACGCAGACAACCTTGACCGACACTTCCAGCACACACTCTTCAATCACGACAAGTTCGGTCACTGTGACCACTACTACTGCCACTGACGGATGGGTGGCAGTGGCTTATCCACAGGTTCCAGCTGGGTCTTATGGATTTTTGCAAGCTTCGTGGCAGTTTTTGTGCTGCCCGTCTCCATCGTCAGTTTCCGGTACCACTTGTACCGGGAAGTTGTCGTGCCGGTCACGATCCAAGAGCGCTTGCCGTTCAAAGCGCCGCAGCCAGTCGATCCCCCGCGGCTATGCGTGACGTCTTGGGTGCTGCTGACGCTTCCGGTCCTGTCAATCACATCGCCTCCGCCGCCCGTGGCGGTTCACTCCGGTGCTGCTCGGATCAGCATCCGTCTGCGATCTGACATGAGGTTCCTTCCATGCCGTTCCGGTTGAGCCACAGATACAATTGGTACCAGGGTCACCAATATGGCCGGCGGTGCGGACTTGCAGACCAAGGCTGTGCCAGGCTCCATGGCCCATTTCTCCACTCCCGGAGTTAGAACACCCGTAGCTGCAACTAGCCCGAGCACCGGCGAGCTAGCAGTCAGCAGCCCGGGCCCTTACATCCGATCGCACGGCTGAGCGTTCGCACCATGGCCAGCATGCGGGTTCATGAGCGTCTGCCCCAGAGACCGGGAGTATCACTCGTGCGCAGCACTCCGCGCACTCTGGAAGGGGCAGTGCAGAGCTGCTCCAGGCGAGTGCTGCGCTGCCCGGCCAGCTTGGCAGTGACCTTGCGTCCAAAGACACTGGCAGAGACGACGCGACCTACCACCGGATCCGACTCCGCCACTCGCGAGCGTGCCATTTGCAGAGGGATGACCCTCCCAGGCTCGAGCCCCGCAGCAAGCGGCAAGACAGCGACGGGTGCCCATCTCGCCTCCCGTGCACACTGCGGCTTTGCCCAGCAGACTCCGTGTGCGGCTGGTTCCCGAGTCACCCGAGTGGCCTGTGGCAACGCGTGCGAGAATGCATCCGCTGAGGGATCCTTTAATTGCTGGACGTGAGCCTCATGGTCAAGCGCATCGTTCAGGTCTCCGGCGAAGAGACCTTCAGCATGATGACAAGAAGCATTTGCCAACGGAGTCGAGGAGGAAGCCAGATAGCAGGAGTGCAAGATTGCACAGCCCTGGCAGTCACAAGGCCTTTTGCGAGCACGTGAGATGTCTGGCAGCGTCACTCGCAGCAGAAGTAGGAGTAGCCCATGCCTGAAACTCAGCCAAAGAGCTGACTCCAGCGAGGCCTTCCGTGCCGAGAGCCGAAGCCCGGCTCGTGCACGAGATAGCTTCACGGAGCCTCCAAGACCGCACGGTCCTCTCCGTGAGACGTGAGAGGAGCCTCCGACAGAGTCGCCAAAGTATGTCGGCCAAGCGAAGTGAGGCGGCCAGCAACGCGATGCCCCGGGCTGGTGAAAAAAGGGGAGACTTTGCGATGACCGGTGTGCGCTGGCACCGACGCCTCATCAGCCAACTGTCTGTTTTATGAAGTCGCAGGCTTTGCACCGGGTCCCAGGCCAATAATGAGTTGTTAAGAGATTCATGATCGTGCATGACGGCATCTTGATGCCGACGGTGCACCGGAATTCCGCAATTTTGTGAACAACTTTCTGCTCATGGCATGCCTTCGGGCTCCAACATGGCATTCCCGCCCTGAGGCATTCAGGTGCCGGGGGGGAGCGGAAGCGACAGCTGGACTCCGGATGATTACCACGCTGCTACACTGAACGCCGATGTTTGGACCAGGGGGCTAAAAAAATGGACGCAAATTTCAGAAGCACTGTAACAGCAATGGACACCTTAGGGCCTTAATCCGAGCACCTGATTAATAGGGGGGGCCCCCCCCAAAAAAAAAAGGTAACAG